ATTAGCTCTTGTAAGGATAGTTCCAATTTGATTAATGATTTACATTCATCCCAAACTGTCTGAGAGGAGGAAGTGACAGCACTTCCTGGTTCAACAAATGTATTTGGAAAACTGACCACTATAATAATGTTCATATGAACAATTTGTCTTTCTGTGTTCAGTTTTATTCAATGTATGTAGAATAGACAGAGCAAAATCCCACTGATAATAAGCCACTGATAATGAAAGTAAACCGCAGAGAGATTTATTAGATTAAAATGTATGTTTAAGAATATGGCTCGATAGAAGCAAATATGCAAACATATTTGTAAATAGATTAGAAAGTACACAGTCTAAGATTAAATAGTGAAAATAATACAGTGAAATAAGTGAAGTGTAAACAATTAGCATTAGAATAAAAGTATAGAGTAAGAAAAATGAAATTAGCTTCTAATTTGAGACTCAGCTCGTTTTTGTCTGTGTTTTGACTGAATCTACTGAGTTCTTGTGTGTCCAATAGTGTGTTTGTTTGTTTTTATTTTTAATTTGTTTTTTTTGTTTTTTGTTTATTTATTTACTTTATTTTTGTTGTTTTTTTCCCAGGATAGAGGATAAAATCCACTGATATTGATTTGATGCTTATGAGTTCAATGCATACATTTTCTTTGTTTTTAATAATTTTTAAAAGTTTTTTTTCTTTTTTCTTTTTCCACTTTATTGATTGATCAAATTGAGTGATTATGTGATCAAAGGGGAGGGTGTTAGTATTAGATAGCAATATGGCCTACGTGCAGGACTGTACAAGGACTCTACAAGGACTCCATGTTATGACTATGATTTGACTGTCTCTTTGTGACACGTATGTCTTTCGATGTGTGACGTGACAATGACTATATAAACTGTGTACTGCCTTTATTCTGTCTGAGAGAAAGAAACAAAGTAAACCATTGGAACTTGAGAGAAACTTAAAGGAAGACTTCTCTCTCGCTCACTTCCGTCAATAGAAGCAGCGTGACTTGTAGTACGGAGAGAAGTTAGTGCGCGGACGTAGCGCCCCTCAGATTACTACGCCTCACAATATAGTACCCGTTTTATCCGCTGAGAAAATCGACTGTTACATTTCTGTGTTACTATACTTTGCAGTGTAACACGTCACGTAACTATATACATTTAATAGGGAACACTTGGAAGAGTTTGGTAGCTTCTAGCGGGAGCTACCTTTTGGTGCTACAAAATATACAGAGGAGGCTGCGTTTGTGCTCCCGCTTTTGCTCCGTTTGCATGACAGAGCGCACGGACTAAGACCAGACAGGTACGTATTAACTAGTCTAAGGTAAGGTAAGAACATATGTCGGTATGTAAAAACGGTGAACTATTCCTTTAAATAAACTTCCAGAGTTTGGCGCACCACGATCCGTCTCTGTCTGCTTCATCCCTGACAGTAGTACTAGAATTTATTATGCTGCTATCCAGAATATATAACTACAATATGTGTTTATAATGTTTCGGGTGTTCATTTTGACATGTTCAGATGAATTATGTTTAAAAAAACTGCTTTGAAGTCGCACCTTTTCACAAACGCTAGGGGGCACCAAAATGGCGGCGATGACGTAGGAGAAGGGCATCTCACAGCAGCAGACAGCAATCTGGGCTGAATCTGTAGGAGGTTTCACTGTCATCTGAACAAGGTATAAACACATTTTCATCAGTTTTGTACATAATAGTGTGCAACTCTTTTAACCTTTTAGCCTTATTTGTGAGATTCAAGCTAATTAGTGTTGGGCAAGTTAGCTAACTCTACTTGATATCATAAAACATGCTAACAAGGCTAATATTAGTTTTTACATTATGCCAGTCTCACTTTGGTTACCTTAGATTTATTTACCACAATGTACATTGTAATATCCATAAACGGTTCAATTTACATTTTTATCAATGATTGCATCACATGTAGTCTATGTTTTCAACTTCTGCAGCTTTTTGTTCATAAAAGTAAAATACTTATTTAATTCAATTCATAATTCATATTTTGATTAGATTTTTTGAATATTACAATGTACATTGTTGTAAATAAATCTAAGGCAAAGTGAGACTGGCATAATGTAAAAACGCATGTTAGCATGTTTTATTATATCAAGTAGAGCTAGCTAACTTGCCCAACACTAATTAGCTTGAATCTCACAAATAAGGCTAAAAGGTTAAAAGAGTTGCACACTATTATGTACAAAACTGATGTAAATATGTTTATACCTTGTTCAGATGACAGTGAAACCTCCTACAGATTCAGCCCAGACTGCTGCTGCTGTGAGAGGTCCTTCTCCTACGTCATCGCCGCCATTTTCTATGCGGAAGTGAAAAAGTGCGACTTCAAAGACGTTTTTTAACATAATTCATCTGAACATGTCAAAATGAACACCCGAAATATTACAAACACATATTGTAGTTATATATTCTGGATAGCAGCATATTAAATTCTAATACTACTTTAACATTAAATTGTTAAAATAACTTCAGGATTCAAACCCAGAAACAATCACGTAAATGTCTATGTCCTTGAGCCCTGCCCCGCCCCGCCCCTCTTGGTCCTGGTTCTATCCATGCAGAGCTGGGACTAAAGTGTAACTGACACTGATTGGTCAGATTGCTGCTGGAAGACATGGTTGCCTAGAAATATCCCTGAATACTGGTTTGTTGTTAGCCTGGCCATAGCCATCCGTACACTCCGCTCAATCATCATTTCACAGCATGTAACGTCTGGGTCTGGTCCCTGTGTTAGCGATTACAATCGGTCGTATTTCGACTGGCTACTCAGAGAGCGCGGAAGGCGGGTGTTGTAGGTCGGTGCCAATGACGTCAAGAGTTTGCGCCGAACGGGCAGGTTGTAGTTTGGCAATGGCGAAGAATGCGATAGTAAAGTAATCCGGTCTGGTTCTATCAAGAAATTGAAGCAGGAGCAAGAGGAATGTTTAGAAAATGTAATCGCTGGTCAAGATTGTGGCGCTACTCCCCATGGGCTCCGTTAGCGGCAAAGGAGATGGCTAGGCTACATTCTAAATGCTAACAACAGACTCGGGCGCATAGCATGCGTCAGATGTACATACAAGGATGAGAAGCTTTGGGAAGTTGTGGTCCAGGATTTCGCAGAGACTCTGGATCCAAAACTTCTGAATGACGCACACCAGGAGTTCGGGACCTCTTGTAGCACCCGCTGCACACTGCCCAGAGATAAGCTGTTGCCATTCTATCCTAAACTGCTACGTGTGGACAGGACAGCGAGACATTTGGAGGGAGAAGACCATAGTCCATCGGTGCGTTATGGGGTGTGTGTCTTTCATAACTGACGAAAAAATACATTGCTTTGCCAGATTTGCTTTTGTGAAAGAGGCAAAACAAATAGCCGTGAGTAAGTACGCAGCGCAGGGTCTGCCGCAGATTTACAGAGAAATAGATGGTCACACATCCTGCAGCGTAAGTCAAGTGTATTTGTATAGCGCCTTCCACGGTCCAAGATCACAAAGCGCTTCACATTTAAAAAACAGATGAAAATAATACACACGCAAGTCAGATTTAAAAACGAAGAAACAGAAGAGGGTCCTCATCATGAAGTGTGATTTATTTGAAGTTTGCATGTTTCCATTAGTTTTTCCGATGCGCAAATTCAAATTTAGAAACATGATGCTCAAAGAAAACGCAGTTTATAATTTTGTCAGAGTGTGGACATGTTTATTGTTGTCCAAATCTTTAATTTCATGCGCGTTTTGGCGTGTTGTGACGAAGATGAGCATACACATTTACACCACCTCCTGATTTGGAGTATATTCTGTGCGTACTGCACGCTCACGCCTAGATTGATAAATGCAGAAAAGTGAACATTCTTTGCGTACGCCTCCTTTACACTGACTTGGCCGTACGCATGTTTCATAAATGAGGGCCAATATGTATGAGTAAAAACAGTTCTGATTGTGCAGCGAATGCTTTTACTCGTGTGTCTTCATGTGTGCGTTGAGGTGACCCCTATGGGCGAAGGCTTTGTCACAGGCTGAACAGCTGAAGGGTTTTTCACCTGTGTGTATCCGTGTATGTACATTAAGAGGACCCCTTTGTGAAAATGCTTTCTCACAGAAAGGACAGCTGAAAGGTTTGTCCCCTGTGTGCGTCCTCATGTGTTCAGTAAGAGTGTTCCTTTGGGAAAAAGCTTTATCACAAACTGAGCAGCTGAAGGGTCGGTCTCCCGTGTGAGTCCTCATATGTACAGTCAGTTTATACTTTTTGGAAAATGTTTTATTACATGTAGAGCAGCTGTGGGGTTTGTCTCCTGTGTGAGTCATCATGTGTTCAGTGAGAGCACCCTTTTGGGAAAATGCTTTGTCACAGACTGGGCAGCTGAAGGGTCTGTCTCCTGTGTGTGTCCTCAGATGTACAGTCAGTTGCATGCGTTGGGAAAAAGCTTTACCACAGACAGAACAGCTGTATGGTTTGTCTCCAGTGTGTGTCCTCATGTGTACAGTTAGCTGTGTGCCTTGGGGAAATGCTTTGCCACAGACAGAACAGCTGTAGGGTTTATCTCCTGTGTGAGTTCTCATATGTAAAGTAAGATCACTTCTTTTTGAAAATGCTTTACCACAGACTGAGCAGCTGTGAGGCTTGTCCCCTGTGTGAGTCCTCATGTGTTCAGTCAGAGTTCCCCTTCGCGAGAATGCCCTGTCACAGACTGAACAGCTGAATGGTTTCTCGCCTGTGTGTGTTCTTATGTGTTTTTTAAGAACACCCTTTTCAGAAAATGATTTACCACAGATTGTACAAGTGTAAGGCTTTTCCCCAGTGTGCGTCCTCATGTGCACATTCAGAGCACCCTTTTGGGCGAATCCCCGGTGACACACTGAACAGCCGAAGGGTTTGTCTCCTGTGTGAGTCCTCATATGTTCTTTGAAATATCTTTTTGTTGAAAAGGCTTTGTCGCAGACGGAGCAGCTGAAGGGTTTGTCTCCTGTGTGAGGCCCATCTGTGGCTCTGCTCTGGACTCTGTGGTGGTCGTCTCCATCATCATCTGTCTCTGAGGACACAGGCTGAAGATGAAGGTCTTCATCCTGGTGGTGGTCAGAGGAGTGCTCTGTGTCTCCCTCAGACTCTGGGCTGATGTCTTCTCCCTGTGTCTCCTCTCTGTGCTCACTTTGTCTTTGAGGCAGTGACCACTCTTCTGTCTTCACACACACAGGACTGGAACAAACACAAACTGGTCACTGATGTGAACCTGATGACAATCATCAGTAAATATGTAGAATGATGACAGAGACTCACAGCGGCTCCTCCTCGTGTTTGATCCTCACTTCCTCTGGCTCCTCTTTAGTCTGTGGACTTTGTAGGATTTCCTGGAGCAGACTGTGTTCTTCTGCCTTCACTCCCACAGTTCTGCATCCACACAACAGATCTGGGCTCAGCTCATTGTTTTAAACATGCTGCAGTTTCAGCACAGACACAGACTCACATTTGCAGCAGATCTTCCTCCAGTTTGATGCCATGTTCCTCTGGCTCCTCGCTGATCTGTGGACTCTCTGGGTTTTCCTGCTTCAGACCAGAATAAAGCTTTGTGCTGCTGCAAAAGAGACATCACCAGATTAAATACACAATTAAAAACTGCGGAACTAAACAGTGAGACATAGATACAACATGTGTAATAACTCATTGTTAATAAAGATGACTGAGGACTCCTGTTAAACTAGTTAAAGATTAAATGTCTACTTTTCCAGAGACTAATTTGGGATCTTAATGTAAATGTGTAAAATGTGTGTCTTTTCTCTGTGACTTTTACTCTCGTCTTTAATAACTTTATTTTTGACGCACATGAGGAGCAGTTTTTACTGTGGTGAAGTCAATACTCTGTCACAAAATACAGCTTTGAAGAACGCAGACGCACAGGGAGTGAGCTAATGTTGCTAATGCTACTAACAGCTAATGTTGCTAATGCTAACAACAGCTAATGTTGCTAATGCTAATATCAGACGCTGACTCTGGTCTTTAACGTTACCCCGCTCCGCAGTCCAGCTCAGACGCCGGGAGCCGAGCCGCCATGTCTGCTGCACGGTCCGTAAGATGTAGTAGTTTGTAACAGATTGTTTATATTGTTTAGATAAAGTAAATAAAACAGACTTCAGCTTCTGTTACTGCGGCTGTGGACTTCTGGTGCTTTGCTGCCGCCTCTGGTTATGATGGTTATTGCAGCCTGTTCTCCTCCTTCCAACATCATGAAATCAGGAAACTGCAGATTTTAAAGAAAAAACCATGAGTCCTTCTCAGATACAAACGAACAGAATGTAAAACATTTTAAAATATAAATGAGAGCGAGACAGAGGCTGCGGCGCAACAGATTTGATTTGGAAAAGTACCATTGAGTCCTGAGTCCCAAACCCAAGTGGCGCCACAGTGGCTGAGTGGTTAGCACTCTGGCTTCACTGCAAGACGGTCTTGGGTTTGAATCCCAATGTGTCTGAGTGCAGTTTGCATGCTCTCCCCGTCTCTCTGCAAGTTTCCACTTCCACAAAAACAAAACCCGGTCTGGGTGGAGCAGGACGGGTCACAGCAGCAGAGGTGGAGTAGCCTCTGGTTGGAGCAGGACGGGTCACAGCAGCAGAGGTGGAGTAGCCTCTGGTTGGTGCAGGACGGGTCACAGCAGCAGAGGTGGAGTAGCCTCTGGTTGGAGCAGGACGGGTCACAGCAGCAGAGGTGGAGTACCCTCTGGGTGGAGCAGGACAGGTCAAAAGGTGGAGTAGCCGCTTAGTTCTGACCATCTTCTCTGCTCTGGTCCAAAGTAAAATGCTGAATGCTTCAATAGCATTTTTCAAAAAGTTAGCATTCCTCCAGTGTATTTTCGGCTGATCCACTTGGTTCGGACCATGAATCCTCTCTGCTCTGGTCTGGACCAGTGTAAAACCATGAATCCTCTCTTGCTCTGGTCTGGACCAGTGTAAAACCATGAATCCTCTCTGCTCTGATCTGGACCAGTGTAAAACCATGAACATTGTATGGCAGCAACATCTCAGGCAGAAAAAAGCAATAAAAATTAAAGCCGCAAGCGACGTCGAACGGCCCGCACCGTGCACCAAGGTGACGCTGACAGGCCATTTTCTCATTGCAATGATGGGAGCGACACCGTACATTTTGAATTCCTGTGAGCAGTGATTGTGTGCATCTATTGAAAATGTAAACCCAAGTCTCTCAATGTAACACTTGTATCAGTCTGTAGGGGCGCTCATGCTGCATTTTCATGATTTACACTTTCAGTTTACTCAAACCCAAGAGTTAGACTATCAAAACTAATTTTGTGCAAATCGGAGTTTGTATGTGAAGATGGTGTTATTTAATGTTGTACAATAGCACCCCCTACAATTTCAATTTATTAGTGTTGCACCAAATAACACCAAAATAATACATTTTATGCTTGAAAAAAACTTGTGGCAAAGTTTGGTGAGTTTTTGTGTTTGTTCAGTGGGTCAAATATGAGATCGAACAAAAAAAAAACCTATATACCTTTATCCCCAAGTAAACCTTTACTCAGCCTGTAGGGGGCGCTAATGGGCCAATGTCATTGTTCACACTGTCATGTGACCTTGGCCCAGGAGTTGAACAACCGAGTCAAGTTTAGTGCAAATCAGAGTTTGTAAATGTGCTCCTGTTTGCACATACAATCTGTGAGTGTGTCAATAGGGCACTGTCCGTATGTGTATTTATTTGGGCTAAATCATTGAATCATGGTGACAACAAAACACTGCAGTTATGGTGCTTGTCGGAGCGATTTCAGATGCTCTGAAAAGGACTATATGAAAGTAACATTCAACCCGTTCGTTAAACCACAACATCGGACCAGACCAGGACCAGACCAGGACCAGATCAGACCAGGTGGGTGCTTGTGGTCGGCAGAATTTCTCTCATGAAAAGGTTAAAAAGGGCACATGTTTTTTCAAAACACTTCGCTGGACCAACTGTGGAGCATCCAGATCCAGTCCTAGCTACGTTTAGCTGGGACTGGATCTGGACCGCTGTATCAGGTCCGTCTGAGCTCTTCTGAATGTAGTTAGCACAAACTTTCTCTTTACACCATTTACCCCCATCAATCCATATTAGTATTGTTTGTCCTAATCCAGAAAGTATACAATTCTCACACCTGAAGAAAGATGAGAGGGATTTTTTTCAACTTTGTGTCTGCTTATTATACTGCTTTGTACCAATTGAACACACAAAATAAACGTCATTCACTACTCATGCCGAAAGGTTTATTTAATGAGTGCAAAGAAAATAGTTCCCAAAGGTTTTCCCGTGGCAGGCGAGTAACAGTGAGGATAGTTAACCTAAAAGCGATCGCTTTAGTCGCATTAAAAAAGTATTTTTGTCATGAAAACCTGAACAGTTAATTCTGAAAACCTCCGTGCACTTGTGTTATGAATGTGTATAATGTATTCTCCCATTAACATTTAAATGTGTTGATTGATTGTCATTTGCGTTTACTGAGTGTGGCTAGCTCTGATAGTTTCTCTCAGAGACAGTGGCGTAACCCGTTGTGATCATGGATTTATTATAATATCAGCTGACTGTAGCTAACTAATGATCAAACTAATTACAAAGTGGATAGTGCAAAAACAACTTGATAAATGGAAGTTAATCACAGCAAAACAAACAAAGAAGGCGCTAGCATTGCAATTTAAATGACTAGATAATGTTAGCATAATCCTCACCATTACCTTTTTATCAAATCAAACCGTCTACCAGTTACTGGAAGACCACGACATTCAAGCCAACGTTATAATTGGTCTACACTATGATCCCTGATGGTTTGATGGTGGAATTTTGCCCCTGGTATATCATTTTCGTCTAAAGTGACAAGTGGTATTTGATTCATTTCGGCAGTGTTTGTCCGAAACATGTGGGCGGGAGTTGACAGGCGGCGGGGGCGTGTCTTAGTGACGTCATTTAGATAGTTCGCTATACAGTCTCCATTGGATAACATGGGAACTTCACACCTCTCTATGAAAATAACCACACTTTGGGAGTCTGTCACGCGCAGACCGTTTGATTAATTCAAATTCTATATTCAACTATTGATGGTCCATGTGTTGAGACGATGTGGAGCGATTTTCAGCCAAATTAGTGAAACGGCCGCGGCTGGTTTGATGTTTGAGCGAGGTGTACTTTTCAGAGATATAATGATTTTCCCATAGACACAGACAGGGGAGTGTTGGTCGTCGCCACGGCAACAGGGTAAATAATAACCATATGTTGTAATTGACTTTTTGAATCCAGATGACAAAACAGAATTATGTGCAAAATTTATAACATTTTGAAAAAACTAAATTTTATTAGGCCCATCTAAAACTTTGACATAGTCTGTAGGGGGCGCTAATGAGCCAATTTCAATATTTCCACTTTCAAAGGACCTAGACCCTGGAGCTGAACAATGGATTAAATTTTTTTGCAAATCCGGCTTTGTTTGTGCAAACGGGAGCAAATTTACTTTTGTCAAAAATTGAAAAAAATATGTCACATTTTGCCGCTCCGCTGCTCGGACAACGTTTAACTGATCCAAATTCTATTATCAATAATAGATGGTACATGTGTTTAGAGCATGTGGAGCAATTTTGAGACAAATCGGTGAAATGGCCGAGGAGGAGATGATTTCCAATCAACATGTGTGAAAAAGTTCAATTTTCATTTCAATTTTCATTTCCCATTGAAATTAATGACCTCCCTGTTTGTCAGGGGGCGGAGCCATGGTCACTTTTTTTTCATGTATTGACTTGAGGAACATGTGTACCGAGTTTCGTGGCTCTACGACAAACCTGACCTCCGACCCCCTCCCATAGGCGCAATGTAGACTGACTTTTGTAGGGGGCGCTGTTCTGGCATTTTTTTAGTCCCATAAAAATAAACACTAAAAATTTTTATTTTTTGCTGGTTCTTAATTTTGGGCTAAATTTCACAACTTTTCATCAATGTTCAGGGGGTCAAATTAAGGTTCAAAGTGCAGAATAAAAAATAAATAAACCAAGGATTTTTTTTTGAAAATCTTTGAGCAAAAACAATATAGGTTTCCATAGTAACCAATAATACAAACGATACATCGTTTTAAAGCGAACGACCAGGCGGACGCAACTATTGGGTTCTCGGTGATTCACCTCGCCATCATGAGGTCACCCCCCCTCCATAGGGGGAGTTAGGGTTAGGGTTAGCCCTAACCTTAACCCTAACCCATTCCTAACCCATTCATTTCACTGTGTACTACAGCAGTAGCAAAGCCATTCAGTGCCTCCGGCACTGTTTTATCGGTGTCTGGGCACGCGCCGTCGGGCTTGGGGGACGAATGTCCGGGCTTCGCCCGAACATTCCTCCGTAAGACAGTTGAAGGAGCCCCCCTTTAATAGGACTTTAATGGCACATTAGTTAGAACGGCGGAGATAGGCGTGACTATGTCCGTTAATATTTACAGTCTATGGTCTGACCAGAGTCCGACACGCGAGTCCCTTTAAAAGTTTTTAACTCATTTTATTTTCAGTTTATCCGTTGCTCATTAAGAAAAGTAAGAAACCTTAGAAAAGTAACAACACCGATGTAAATTTATGTGGCAGGTTGGTGTAGGCTACCTTTGAAGATGGATTGTAGGCGGCACCGACGTAGCGTTGAAAGCCGGGTACGCGCACAGCGCGCGCTCATACACACACCATCTTGAGTGGGCTTTGTGGTGGCGGCGTGCTGTTGTCTCCCGCAACACCTGGTTCGGGCCTTATCCTTCCGAACCCTGCGCTTCTACGCATTATCATCCAGGTTAGTTTTGATGCACGCTGTGTGCCAGCCTTCCTTAATGTTGGTTGTCTTAGGTCCAGGACTACGGTCTGGCCTGGCTCGCGTGGTCTTCCTCCTTCTCCTTGGGAGTGCGTGCGTTGTGCACGCGTCGTGCGCTCCAGGCCCTTCTCTGGGTAAGTGCGTCCATTGTCTCGCTGCATTTTGGGCTTGGCCCGGGCTGACACCAAATTCTCCTTTAGGTCTGGGGCTGTTGTGGGACTTTGCCGTGATTCCCCCGCGTATCTTCCCCTCCTCCTGCTGCCTGCGGGTGCGCGCACTTTCACCGGCAGGTAAGAGGTCCAAAGCTTTACCAATGCAGGGCTAATCCTTAGTTGGTAGTTTACGCTCGTGTTTTTCTTCCTAGGCACGAGGCGCACAGCGTGCGTGGCCCACGTTGGAGCCGCCACCTCCTGTTAAAGGAGGCCGTTGTCTTGTCCCTCTGTGTTGTCCACATTCTCCCGTTGTGTAAAATAAGTGCTCCAGTCCCATTCCGCACCCCTGGGCTGTTTCAGCGCGTGCTTAGTGCGCGCATTGGTGGGGGTGGACTCGCACCGAACAATTTATCATTGTTTTTTTGTAGGCAAAGACTTCAAGGAATCAGGGTATAGTTTGTCCGCATGTCTGCTCCTGCATGCTTGTTTGTTTTTGTCGCTTTGCACGTTATTTTCCTTTGCCTGTTTTCTGTGTGTACTTTCCTTATTGTGCATAATTTGCTGTGTCTTATTTTATTTTTGCTTCTGTTGTGATGTTTGCCTATTTTCACAAGCTATTTGATTTCTGTTTATTTAAAGGTGCTGTCCTCCACTACTCAAGTAGCACTGTGTACATTGTTTATAGTGAAAGGTGTACTGTATGACGGTTGTTTACCATTTTTAAATAATATTAGGCCTATTTCAACTTCTGTATTTTATAAATAAAACTTATCCTTGTAATACAAATTCACCTCCTTTATTGTCCTAACCTAGTGCGGCCTTCTGAAAGCAAAAGAAAAAAAAAACTAAACCAAAACTGTCGGGTCCCAGGGCCATTACCCTGGGTGGCGTTGCTGAATTCTCATTGTTCTACCACGGCTCCCGCCACATTTATATAAACAGTACATTTACACATTATAAACAGATGAATATTAGCAATGAACACAGTCATTATTATTGCACATAAAGAGGTACGTGTTGTATTTTAATACATTTTCTTGAGTTTCCTAGTTTTAAACTAAATGTTTACATTTTTGACACATAAAAAAAAAACTATACAGTTGGGTTACTCTGGTGTGTGGGAGGTAGTGTGTTGCCGTTTTTCCACAGTGTCGGTTCAGTTCATTTCGGTACGGCGCACCTATTTTGCTTTTCCACTAGTGGATGGAATGGGAGATTTGAGTACTTTTCCGTACTGCCTCAGCTTTGGTTCCATCCCCATAGTACCCGTGCCATGACGTCACGTCGGCCCACTGCCTTACACTGATTGGTCAACGAGTGTCGTCACTGGAAGCGACATCTGACCCTTTGGGAAAAACAACTCAACCGCCATCTTTAAAACCGGCTGCTCTGCTCGGCTCTGCTTCGGCTACATTACGTCCTCCTCACTCCAGAGAAATGGAATTGCACAGAAAGCCTCAAAAGTCCTGGTCCTGGTCGGTGGACGAGGTCCACACGTTCCTCTCTTAAGGCCAAAAGAAAGAATTCAAAGGCAGCTCGAGGCTCAACAGTTTTCAAGGAGATCACCCAGCTCTGGATTTGTGACTAGTCTGTGGTAATCCTGGAAATAACTGGATAGCTATGAATCCTGTTAAAGCTCTCACTAAAATGTATTTACTGTGTAAATGCTCGATTGTCTGTTGTACACAGTGAGCTAGCTACATTTTAGCTTCATTTAGCTATCGATAGCAAGTTAAGCTAACGTCCTCCCTGTGCTACTGTGCTTTATCTCGTATAATCTGCAGTATCCACGTGTTGTCATTCTGTGCTTGTATTTAAGTTGTCGTGTGTATATTTGTATGAGAATCTCTTCCCATAAGTGTGGAGATTACCAACGAGTAATGAGTGACCGGATTATTCTCATCTGGACCTGGTCTTAGACATACGTACTTTTGACTTTGTAAACTGTTGGTTTTGCACTTTACTTTTGTTTTCAATAAATCTGTGATTGTATCAAGACTGTGTTTCATTCATTTATTATTATTGTAGCTGAGGTTTGGGTATCGATTGTTTGTCTGGTCTCGGAGTCTGCTGTAGTCCAGACCCGAGTCCGGACTAGCCAAGCCTAGCTTAGACGCTAACTCGCTACCCCTATGGCTGCCGCCGTCTCTCCCTCGGTCTTTTACTGCTCGAGTTGCCATATGACGAGTTTAAACCCCGGATCCTCCTCTGATGGCAGTGATAGATGTGTTAAGTGTAGTACAGTAGTAGCTTTGGAATCCAGGGTTAGTGAGTGAGCAGAGTCTCGAGCTAGCGCTAGCATTAGCTTTAGCCTAGCAGTATCCTCGGACATGCAGCCCTCCCCCTCTGCTAAACAGGCTGCTGTTGCTACAGGTCCCATTCAGATTGTACAGAGCAGTCAGCACCATTGACTTCACAGTGTCTGAGTCATTCTTTTAAGACATAAGCATTTTCAAAAACTACTCGTGCTGTGCTGAACTTTCTATTAAACACTTGCTCTGGTATTATAATAAATCCATGCACCAGTACTAGTTACGCGTCACACATAAATGACGTGGTCTGACAACGCTGAGGACATACTGGGGGTACTATTTTTGATGGAAAAGCACGCGAACTGGACCATGGCGTGTAGAGTCAAAACGACCATTAACTCATGACCATGGACTGTCAGGACCATGGACCGTCAGGACCATGGACCGTCATGACCATGGACCGTCACGACCATGGACCGTCACGACCATGGACCGTCACGACCATGAACTCATGACCATGGACCGTCACGACCATGAATTCATGACCATGGACCGTCACGACCATGAACTCATGACCATGGACCGTCACGACCATGGACCGTCACGACCATGAACTCATGACCATGGACCGTCACGACCATGGACCGTCACAACCATGGACTCATGACCATGGACCGTGACAACCATGGACCGTCACGACCATGGACCGTCATGACCATGGACCGTCGTGACCATGAACCGTCACGACCATGGACCGTCGTGACCATGGACCGTCACGACCATGGACCGTCACGACCATGGACCGTCGTGACCAGGTGTTAAAGGCAGAAAGTCCTGCTTCAGTATCAGCAAAGACCCTCAGGGCCAAGAGAAGGCCCGAGCACAGCCTCTGACTGGAGCTCACTACTGTAAAGCCTATAGCTGTTATGTGTGTGTCTACCATGTGTTACCAGGACTTCACAGACACACTGTGAAGACGACTTTCTCACTGTGTGTCTTCAAGTGAGCAGAGAGATGACCCTTTTGTGAAAATGCTTTGTCACAGACTGAACAGCTGAAGGGTTTCTCCCCTGTGTGTGTTCTCATGTGTATGGTGAGTTTATAGCTTTGTTTAAAAGCTTTGTTACACGTAGAGCAGCTGTAAGGTGCGTCTCCTGTGTGAGTCCTCATGTGTTCTGTCAGAATACTCCTTTTTGAAAATGCTTTAGCACAGACTGAGCAGCTGTGAGGCTTGTCCCCGGTGTGAGTCCTTGTGTGCTCTGTGAGTTTATTCCTTTGAGAAAAGGCTTTGTCACAGACTGAGCAGCTGAATGGTTTTTCCCCTGTGTGAATCCTCATGTGTACAGATAGTTTACACTTTTGTGTGAACGCTTTGTTACATGTAGAACAGCTGTAAGGTTTGTCTCCTGTGTGTGTCATCAAATGTACATCAAGTTTATACCTGAGGGGAAATGCTTTACTGCAGAAAGAACAACTGAAAGGTTTGTCTCCGGTGTGTGTCCTCATGTGCACAATAAGTTGTGCATGTTGGCAAAAGGCTTTACTACAGACTGAGCAACTGTAAGGTTTATCTCCTGTGTGAGTCCTCATGTGTTCAGTGAGAGAGGACCTATGGGAAAATGCCTTGTCACAGACTGAGCAGCTGAATGGTTTTTCACCTGTGTGTGTTCTTGTGTGTTTTTTAAGGGTACATTTTTGAGAAAATGTTTTTAAACAAGTTGCACAAGTGTAAGGCTTTTCCCCTGTGTGTATCCGCATGTGTTTATTTAGAGTATTCCTTTTGGAAAATACTTTTTCACACACTGAACAGCTGAAGGGTTTGCCTCCTGTGTGTGTCTTCATGTGTTCTTTGAAATATCTCTTTGCTGACAATACTTTGTCGCAGACGGAGCAGCTGAAGGGTTTGTCTCCTGTGTGAGGCCCATCTGTGGCTCTGCTCTGGACTCTGTGGTGGTCGTCTCCATCATCATCTGTCTCTGAGGACACAGGCTGAAGATGAAGGTCTTCATCCTGGTCGTGGTCAGAGGAGTGCTCTGTGTCTCCCTCAGACTCTGGGCTGATGTCTTCTCCCTGTGTCTCCTCTCTGTGCTCACTTTGTCTTTGAGGCAGTGACCACTCTTCTGTCTTCACACACACAGGACTGGAACAAACACAAACTGGTCACTGATGTGAACCTGATGACAATCATCAGTAAATATGTAGAATGATGACAGAGACTCACAGCGGCTCCTCCTCGTGTTTGATCCTCACTTCCTCTGGTTCCTCTTTAGTCTGTGGACTTTGTGGGATTTCCTGGAGCAGACTGTGTTCTTCTGCCTTCACTCCCACAGTTCTGCATCCGCACAACAGATCTGGGCTCAGCTCATTGTTTTAAACATGCTGCAGTTTCAGCACAGACACAGACTCACATTTGCAGCAGATCTTCCTCCAGTTTGATGCCATGTTCCTCTGGCTCCTCGCTGATCTGTGGACTCTCTGGGTTTTCCTGCTTCAGACCAGAATAAAGCTTTGTGCTGCTGCAAAAGAGACATCACCAGATTAAATACACAATTACAAAACTGGGGAACTAAACAGTGAGACATGTGAGTGGTGAGAGATCTGGTCTGGAATGGAGAGCTGCATGGATACTCTTCTTAATTGACTCTAAAATTAAAGTTTTATTGATTAGAAATGTAATGATTTTAAAGTTAAAATGTAATAAATTCTACTGCTGTTTTACCTTTTCATCAGTGGATTGATTTTACAGAAATGCATTGTTTACAAATGCAAGTATGTTTTTGAGTCCGCTAGAAAACATTGCCATAGATGTGTCTATGTCAATGGGTTATAGGTGCAACATGTTGTTATAGAGATTATTGAGGACTCATGTTAAACTAGTTGGAGGTTAAACGTCTGCTTTGCCAGAGACCAATTGGGATCTGAATAATGTAAATGAGTTAAAAGGCAGTGTCTTTTCTCTGTGACTTTTACTCTCGTCTTTATAAGCTTTAACTGTGGTGAAGACAATGCTCTGTCACAATATACGACTTAGAAGAACGCAGACGCATTTGCAACATTAGGGAGTGAGCTAATGTTGCTAATGCTAACAACAGCTAATGTTGCCAATGCTAACATCAGACTCTGACTCTGGTCTTTAACGTTACCCCACTCCGCAGTCCAGTTCAGACGCCGGGAGCCGAGCCGCCATGGCTGCTGCACGGTCCGTAAGATGTGTTTGTTACCGATTGTTTATATTGTTTAAATAAAGTAAATAAAACAGACTTCAGCTTCTGTTACTGCGGCTGTGGATTTCTGGCGTTTTACTGCCCCCTCTGGTCATGATGGTTATTGTCTCAAAGTCAAAATAAACTCACAACTTCCTGCACCAAAGACTTTCACATGATTCTAGTTTCAGTCACATCTTCTACATGACTACTTTCACTTTGTCCCAGAGCCTCTGCTGCTAATGTACAGATGTAAACATGATGTATACTACTGCACTAGAATATACAGGATTCATACTAGCTTATTTATTAAGGCTAAAGTTAGAGATGTTGTTTTATCTTTGTTCATGTATCTTGTCCTGTGTGCTCATCCTTCTACTGTTCTATAACTGCTGATGCAACACTGACATTTCCCCGCTGTGGGACCAATGAAGGATCTCGTCCAGAGTTGAAGTCGGGCAGTATTCCACACTGATGAAAATCTATCAACATATGATCAAATAGACTCCATTATAAAGGTTAACATTCGCCTGGAGATAAACATTTCTCAGCAACAGTTGGAGCAAGCAGTGACTGAGTTTACAGAAGATCAAACATGTTTTTGTATAAAACATAAGAAAGGATTCTCTTCACTGTGTTTGTATTTGTTCTATTATTTAATTCAATGTCTTCTTGTATCGCCCTGAACCGCTAGTTATCTCGGAGGACTTTACAAAGCTGTCGATTCGCCAACACAGATCAGAGAATCAAACACATGAAATGTAAAGATAAAAAAACACAGAGCCTTTGTCCATACAGTGCCTTGCGAAAGTATTCGGCCCCCTTGAACCTTTCAACATTTCAGGCTTCAAACATAAAGATATAAAATTTTAATTTTTTGTCATGAATCAACAACAAGTGGGACACAATCGTGAAGTGGAATGAAATTTATTGGATAATTAAAACTTTTAGAAAAAATAAAAACTGAAAAGTGGGGCGTGCAATATTATTCGGCCCCTTTACTTTCAGTGCAGCAAACTCAGTCCAGAAGTTCAGTGAGGATCTTTGAATGATCCAATGTTGTCCTAAATGACTGACTAAATGATCTGCAGTTCATCCAGAGTGATCATGGGCCTCTTGACTGCATCTCTGATCAGTCTTCTCCTTATTTGAGATGAAAGTTTGGAGGGACGGCAGGGTCTTGGTAGATTTGCAGTGGTCTGATACTCCTTCCATTTCAATATAATTGCTTGCACAGTGCTCCTTGAGATGTTTAAAGCTTGGGAAATCTTTTTGTATCCAAATCCGGCTTTAAACTTCTCCACAACAGTATCTCGGACCTGCCTGGTGTTTTCCTTTGTCTTCATGGTTCTCTCTGCGCATTAAACAGAACCCTGAGACTATCAAAGAGCAGGTGCATTTATACGGAGACTTGATTACACACAGGTGCATTCTATTTATCATCATCAGTCATTTAGGACAACATTGGATCATTCAAAGATCCTCACTGAACTTCTGGACTGAGTTTGCATCACTGAAAGTAAAGGGGCCGAATAATATTGCACGCCCCACTTTTCAGTTTTTTATTTGTTAATAAAGTTTAAATTATCTAACAAATTTCATTCCACTTCACGATTGTGTCCCACTTGTTGTTGATTCATGACAAAAAATTAAAATTTTATATCTTTAGGTTTGAAGCCTGAAATGTGGCGAAATGTTGAAAGGTTCAAGGGGGCCGAATACCTTCGCAAGGCACTGTAAATGTAGTTGAATGTTGTGTGGCCTGATCCTGATCCTAGAGCGTATTAAGAATTCAGAACCAAGAAAACAGAGCTATCCAACCCTCACTGAGGCTGAATTTAAATGAAGCTTGTTGGACGTCGGCTTCTTCCACACGTAGAAAACATCAATGAACAAGTGTTTATTTTATTAAAGTAAACAACATGTTTACACCAACACCAGCCGCCCACGTGATTCACATGAACCATACATGTAAAAAATACAAACTAAGAACAGCTTAGTTTGGGATAAATCCTAATGTATAATATAAACCAAGTGTGTGTGTGTAAAAGTGTGTGCGTGTGCGTGTGTGTGTGTGTGTGAAGCGGCTGGGATGAGAATCAGCTGCAAATCCGAGGCCATGGTGCTCGACCGGAAAAAGGTGCCTTGCCCTCTCCAGGTCCTGATCCTCTCCAGGTGGAGTGGTCCTTCCTCAAGTGGAGGAGTTCAAGTATCTCAGGGTCTTGTTCACGAGTGAGGGAAGGATGGAGCGTGTGCAGTGATGCGGTCGCTGTATCGGACCGTCGTGGTAAAGAGGAAGCAGCGTCTGCAGTCAGAGCTGTATCGGACCGTTGTGGTAAAGAGGGAGCAGCGTCTGCAGTCAGAGCTGTATCGGACTGTTGTGGTAAAGAGGGAGCTGAGCCGAAAGGCAAAGCTCTCGATTTACGGGTCAATCTTCGTTCCCTCCCTCACCTATGGTCATGAGGGAGCAGCTTCTAAAGTCAGAGCTCCCTCACCTCTGGTCATGAGCTTTGGGTAATGACCGAAAGAACGAGATCGCGGATACAAGCGTGGAAATGATATTCCTCCGCAGAGTGGCTGCTCCCTTAGAGATAGGGTGAGGAGCTCAGTCACACGGGAGAAGCTCGGAGTTGAGCCGCTGCGAGAGGAACCAGTTGAGGTGGCTCGGGCATCTGTTCCGGATGCCTCCTGGACGCCTCCCTGGGGAGGTGTTCCGGGAGGAGGCTCCGGGGAAGACAGAGGACACGCTGTAGGGACTATGGGCCTCATGTATGAAACTTGCGTACGGCCAAATCAGGGTGTAAATGATGCATACGCAAAATATTTACACTTTTCCGCATTAATCAATCTGGACGTGAGCGTACGATACGCAAAAAATATACGCCAGGTCTGGAGGTGGTGTAAATGTGTACGCTCATTTCAACCTTCATTACAACACGCCAAAACACGCATAAATGCAAGATTTGGACAACAATAAACATATTCCCACTCTGTCAAGATTATAGGCACACCTCTCACATTACAAATATGCAATTTTCCGATGTTATGTTAGGGCTAGTTTGTGTTATTAAATAACATGCAAGATGTCAAACTTAGTCTTCCACAAATGTGTGGATTGTTATATCACCTACAATCAGTGCGTAATGGCTTTGGTTCATGCGGGTCCAAGCAAAGACGCGCGCCACCGTGGAGTGCTGCGCGAGTCTGATCAGGCTCTGGGACATATAGGGGGTACGCTCTGGTACCTCCCGGTACAAGTGTGCCACATGGTCCTGGCTCGGTTCTCCACAACAGGCACAGGACCACAGTGTGCCACTGGTGGAGCAGCCCATGGATGAGAGACCATGGCCAGCAGCGCCTTCGGCCTATACAGCTCAAACAGGCTCTCATTCAACCATTTTAAAATAATAATCACATACATAATTTGAAGATAATTTTTTTTCTTTATATTTTCTTTTGGATGCTTTGGTCTGGCGGTCCTCCCCCTGGGCTGCTGAGCACTTCTTCTATGAGCTGCGCTAAACGCCTTTTTGTTACCATTTTAAGGTCGCTCCCTTTTTGTTCACTTCAATCAATCAATCAATCAAATTTTATTTATAGAGCCCTTTACAACACACAAGGCGACCAAAGTGCTTTACAAAAAAAAAAAATCACATAAAATCAGTTAGAAACATTCATACAACCAAACAATAAAAAAACGATAAAACCATTAGAAACTAAAGTGTCGCCGTGCTACTGAGTATTAAAAGCCAGTCTGAATAAATATGTCTTAAGTCTAGATTTAAAAAGGCCAAAGTCAGTGATTGTGCGTAGGTCAGGGGGCAGCTTGAACCAGAGCTTTGGTCCAGAAACTGAAAAGGCTCAATCACCCCAATGTTTGGACCGAGTCCTGGGCACTTCCAGTAAAAGCTGATTTGATGACCTCAGTGATCTGCCCGAGTCACGAACTGTTAGAAGTTCGGACAGGTATGAAGGGGCAAGACCAATGAGGGCTTTAAAAACAAAAAGAAGAATTTTAGAATCAACTCTAAAAGAAACTGGAAGCCAATGTAAAGAAAAAAGGACTGAGGTGATGTGTTCACGTCTGGGGGTGTTTGTTAAAAAAGAGCATAAAGCATTGTAGCATAAATTAATGAATTCTTACTATTGGCCCAATATATCAACTGTTTGATAAAATATAGCGTATTTTTCTTCGAACATAAATAAACTCACCTCTGCAGGAGTGCGTGTTACAGGCCCGCACGCTGTTTACAGATGCAGTCATTTCTTTCCATATATTGTTTTTTGAGCCCCTTGATGCCACTTTTGAGAATTCCAAATAGTAAGACTTTATTCTTTTCCCAATTTGTTCATAATGGTCTCAATCTCCTGCTCCGTGAAGTTATTTTTCCTTAGCCGTTTACTCACTAACCAGACCCTGTGCCGTATACGTAATCACGCATATGTTTTGCCTCATTCACCTCTGGCAAAGCAATGTGGGTTTTCCTTAGTTTTGTGCATAAAGCCCCATAAACGCAATTGATCTTGCTCAAAACTGCTCATCCACTGCCCTGTTCTCCGCAGCAGAGATAGGATGCAAAGCGCATGTGGGAACTGGTTCATTCATTCATTGTTTATTTATTTACTTCTACATTTCAGGAGAGATGAGTGCTGCAGTGGGTCTAGACACGCTATATACACAAACGCGTATATCTAATAGAGCGTATATACTGTATATATTTTTTTAAACGTGAATAATCTCAGATGTGTGTGTTTTTTGAGGCTTCCAAACAGTCTTCTTGATAATAATAATAATAATAATGCATCGGTTTTATATAGCGCTTTTTTGGACACTCAAAGACGCTTCACATGTGTCATTATTCATTCACTCCATAAACGGTGGTGATAAACTACTACTGTAGCCACAGCTGCCCTGGGGCACACTGACAGAAGCGAGGCAACCAGTATGCGCCATCGGCCCCTCCGACCACCACCAACCATTCAC